GGCTTTCTGTAACAAGTTCCTCCTTTAACTTCTCATCTTCGCCAATCGATTCACTCACTTTTTCGCTGTTGTTCGTAAGTGCATCCTGAGGATCGTCTGCAATATTTTCATTCTTGTTCATGCTGGCCTTCTGAAGAAGGTCTTCACTGTTTTCCATCTTGTTCGTGTCTAACTTCTTTGGATCATGTTCTTCAGTGATTTCACTAACGTTTAATGCCGGCGGTGCTTTTCTGGACTCAGTGTGCGTTTCCAATGCTGGTTCAGATGGGACGTTTTCGCTCGCATCCGAAGGAGTTTTAGCGTCTTGTGGAAGATGAGAAGATTCTGGGATTTTAATGTTTATGGCTTCATCTGCATTAGCCAGTTCTTCAAAATCACTTTGTGCATGCGTGACCTCAAGACCAGCTTGTTCTTCAACATCAGCAGCTGAAAGTGGCTCTTTGGTGAGTTCCTCAAGAGATTCGGTCTCTTGTGTTACACCTTCATGCTCTGTTTTGAAAGCATCTTTAAAGCTTGACCTGTCCTCATCCTCGAGTGTTTTCTCTGGTGTTTGTAGTGGTATATCTTTATCGTTTAGCTCTAGTTTAGCAGGTTCTTCATGTGCTACGTCTAAACCTGCTGTTTGTGTTTCAAGTGGCTCAAAATCAGAGTCACTTTGGTTGTGCAAAAGCTCAGAATAATCAATATCTTGCGCATCAGAATCTGATGGTTCGGTTTCTACATCCTCTGAAATGACCTCAGCATCTTGGCTTATTGGAATATCTTCTGTTAGTGCATCTTTAGATTCAGATATCGGTTCTGATGAAACATCTGTCTTTGGCTGAACGCTATCAGAGTCCTCTTCAGTAGATTTCAGTAATGTGTCTGTTTCAGGAGCTTCTACAGATTCTGAATCAACTGCCTTTGAATCAAGAATCGATTCTGAATCTCCTGACTCTGATTCAAGATGTGATGCTGATTCTGAATCAACTGCCACTGATTCAACAAGGAATGATGATTCTGAATCTACGGACTTTGATTCATGAACCGATTGTGATTCTGAATCAACTAACTCGGATTCAAGAATCGAT